GTCTATGGGTGTATTCAAACGTCCAAACTTAACAAATTGTACACTTTGTGTTCAGTTTATTGTATGTCAATTACACCTCAGTAAAGCTGTTTTTTAAAAACACAAATTTCTGGATTCTATCACCAGAGCCTTTGGCTGTAAAAATATTTACCCATTTCATTCGATCAAAATCAATCATTTTGATAGCTTCCTACTGAGGTCTAAATATCCACTCACTTAATAGCAAGTATGATAACTTGGGAACATAAAGTTACTATTTTTCAAAATTATCTCAATATAGAAGCAACTTATACTACAAAGTATTCGTCCTGGTGGATACAGAAAAATATGAGGGATAGTAAAAAAAATAAATAAAGGATTTATGAAGTTTAGCTTTCTAATGGCTAAGCAGAAATAGTATGATGACAAAGAAAATGGGGAGGCAAAAATAAACAGAAAAGCCGACGCACCTATGGTCATCTAATCTATGACAAAGGAGGCAAGAATATACAATGGAGAAAAGACATTCTCTTCAATAAGTGGTGCTGGGAAAACTGGACAACTACATGTAAAAGAACGAAATAGAACATTCTCTAACACCATACATAAAAATAAACTCAAAATGGATTAAAGACCTAAATGTAAGGCCAGACACTATCAAACTCGTAGAGGAAAACATAGGAAGAACACTCTTTGACATAAATCACAGCAAGATCTTTTTTGACCCACCTCTTAGAGTAATGGAAATAAAAACAAAAATAAACAAATGGGACCTAATGAAACTTAAAAGCTTTTGCACAGCAAAGGAAGCCATAAACAAGATGAAAAGACAACCCTCAGAATAGGAGAAAATATTTGCAAACGAAGCAACTGACAAAGGATTAATCTCCAAAATATACAAGCAGCTCATACAGCTCAATATCAGAAAAATAAACAACCCAATCCAAAAATGGGCAGAAGACCTAAACAGACATTTCTCCAAAGAAGATATACAGATTGCCAACAAACACATGAAAGGATGCTAAACATCACTAATCATTAGAGAAATGCAAATCAAAACCACAATGAGGTATCACCTCACACAGGTCAGAATGGCCATCACCAAAAAATCTACAAACAATAAATGCTGGAGAGGGTGTGGAGAAAAGGGAACCCTCTTGCACTGTTGGCGGGAATGTAAATTGATACAGCCACTATGGAGAACAGTATGGAGGTTCCTTAAAAAACTAAAAACAGAGCTACCATATGATCCAGCAATCCTACTCCCAGACACATATCTGGAGAAAACCGTAATTCAAAAAGATACATGCACTCCAATGTTCACTGCAGCACTACTTACAATAGCCAGGACATGGAAGCAACCTAAATGTCCATTGATGGATGAATGGATAAAGAAGATGTGGTACATACCGTCTTTGGAAGATTACTGAAATATAACTCATCCATAAAAAAGAACGAAATAATGTCACTTGCAGCAACATGAATGGACCTAATCTAAAATTAAAATTGGAATCTAAAAAATGGTACAAATGAACTTATTTACAAAACAGAAAGAGTCACAGATGTAGAAAACAAACTTACGGTTACCAAGGGGGAAAAAGGGGGAGGGATAAACTGGGAGATTGGGATTGACATACACACTACTATATATCGAATAGGTAACTAATAAGAACTTACTGTATAGCACAGGGAGCTCTACTCAATATTCTGTAATGACCTATATAGGAATACAATCTAAAAAAGACCAGATATATGTATAATGTACAACTGATTCACTTTGCTGTACAGCAGAAACTAACACAACATTGTAAATCAACTATATTCCAATAAAACTTAAAAAAAAAATTTAAACAGAACCCAAGCCTAGTGTTAACACTAGTAAAACGGATGAAACCTATCATAATTAGACAACAATAATCTTAATTTGAAGAAAGGCATAGCATGGTATTCAAGTAATGGGTAACAGAGAAAGGCTGGTGTTCAAAAGTCCAGAAATAACACTGGAGACTAGGATATAGCAGAATTCTACTGCCATCTTCTTTTTCCTCAACATTTGTGCATCATAAGATAGGCAATGTTATAACTGCAAAATAAATGTCATAAACCTATTTCATTAACCATCAACCTTAAACTTGCTTTTCTAAAAATTGGTTAGATGTGGGATATATGTTAGGAATCATGATTTTGTACCTTGTATCAAATGCTTTATCTATTTCAAACAAACAAGGAAAATTCTCGGAGCTCTATTAACAAATACTAATTTCTATTGATATAATAATAAATACCATAATTCAACCAAGTTGTAGATGGCATATAAGTACTGTATCTTCAATATAGAAGGGATATCAAGTTATTAGTGATAATTTAGTCATTATTATGAGTTAACATATTTTGTTATTTAAATGACATTTATCCATAATTAGAGAAGGTTTTTGCCTTCTTCAACTATCTGTTTTTAAAGGACTAATATTAGAAAGTTAATAGTTAAAATTTTTCCCCCAAGTTATGCTAAAAGAAGAAAGTAAAATTCAGGTATATAAAAACAAGTGAGTTAAGTTATGGGCAAGTGAAAACAAAAGGACAAATTTTAAAGGCATCTCTCCTAAATGTACCAATATATTTTACAGTATACTTTGAAGGATATTACCCAGTAACTTCAAAAAGGAGTAACATCCAATATATTTTATTATTAAAAAATAAATTAAGGGCTTCCCTGGTGGCGCAGTGGTTGAGAGTCCGCCTGCCGATACAGGTGACACGGGTTTGTGCCCCGGTCCGGGAAAATCCCACGTGCCGCGGAGCGGCTGGGCCCGTGAGCCATGGCCGCTGAGCTTGTGCGTCCGGAGCCTGTGCTCCGCAACGAGAGAGGCCACAACAGTGAGAGGCCTGCGTACCGCAAAAAAAAAAAAAAATTTTTTTTAATAAATTAATTAAAATCTAAAGAACGGTATTATATACTAGCTACTTTCAAAAAAGAAGAGGAAGAAATAAAAGTAATTTGAGATTTAAGGTTAGAAAAGAAAAGGTAGCAAGCGGAGAATCTAACAATACCTAGATTATTAAGCTAAAAATTTTTCATCAGAACATTTCACAAAAATCAAGACACTGGTAGGAAGGATATGAAATCACTTAATTCTGTCTGTTAATAAAATGGACTATTCATCTGTTCATAATGAAGTAAACAGAGGAAGGTTTTCATTTAAATAAAAAAAATAAGTTAGAAACTAAAAGGAATCCCATAATGCAAAGGTTTCATTTACTCTGCATTTTTTCAAGCATTCCAATCTTACTCAGAAATAATACAAGATATCCAAGGGCTTTAAAATCTAAGGCCTTTAATTAGTTTTCAGTAATGACCATAAATGCCTTCTCAAAACCCCTTTCACTGAAAACAGAAGGCACTAGGCATTACATAACACCCTGAAAGCAGTGATTCCTTCTGATGCTGGTGAAGATACACATTAAATGGCAGGTTTTAGATCTTAAAGTCTCCTCTGGGAAAAAAAAAAAAAGACAGCTCTGAAAATCACCCCCAAAATTAAAGTTACCAGTCTTTCTCAGGTTCCCAATGCAATTTTAAGTTATTTTTACAAGTACATAATTTGAAATTAATAGATAAACCCGGTAAGTATGATATGGTTTTCAACATGTGTTAGGCTTTTTGTTAAGTACAGTAAATATGAAGATACCGTTATTACGCTAATTGGCATCCTTTGCTTCTCTTTAGCTGTGCAAAATAAAGTTGAAATGATACATCCTGTAGTGGTATAATTTAAAAAATCCTTGATATGACACTAACAACTTTCAAACTCTGGTCACAAACTACATATAAATTGTTAGATTATTAAAATACACCTTTTTGAAAAATAATAAGATGACCATTTATACCTAAATAAGGTTTCCCAGGAAGATATGAAATACTTTAGCATATAAAAGTAGTTGCCCCTTTTCCATGAGGACAACTGTTGTTTCACAAAATAACTCATGTGATTCCTTTCAAATGCCACATTCTCTCCATGACTTTGAGGTATGCTTCAAGAGACTTGTATCCATGAGAAAAGGGCACATTTGGATAGAAGACCACAGTTACAAACACCAAGGACCCTTTCTTAGGTCAGGAGTGCCCTTAAGAGTTACATTAACAGAGAATAAGAGATAGCTCCTGAAGCCATTTCTTTTACAACCTACAACTAAATTTGGATATGTAAAGGGTAATTCAAGACACAGCTATTTACATATGTGCTATGTCATGTGTGCCTATTTTAAACAGTGGCTTCTTCAGGACACTCCTATTCAAACACTAACGAAAAAACCTTATTCTACCAAACCACAATCTTCTATTTTTGGCAAGGTAGTATAGTGTAAACAAAACAAAACAGAAACAAACAAAAACAACAATGACAAAAAACTAGCTATAACAGTGATTGAGGCAAAAGTTCCATGTCAAACAACAGTAGGGAAAGTATTCTGAGAAATATTAATTTTGGGGGAAAAAACCCTACCAAACAAATAATGCTAGAAATCAATCTTATAATCGCTCAAATGACTATCACATAAAAGTTTTAGGGCTTCCCTGGTGATTGGGAGTCCGCCTGCCGATGCAGGGGACAAGGGTTCGTGCCCCGGTCCGGGAAGGTCCTGCGTGCCGCGGGGCGGCTGGGCCCGTGGGCCGTGGTCACTGGGCCTGCGCGTCCAGAGCCTGTGCTCCACGGCAGGAGAGGCCACAGCAGTGCGTACCGCAAAAAAAAAAAAAAAAAGTTTTACAAATGCCTTTAAAATAAGAATAGTTGTTTTAAAAAGTAGCTGATTATGAGGTTTATAATTAGAATGTCTTTGAAAAACAGACAAGCTAATTAACTTGGGCCCAATTAGCAAAGGTAAGAGGAAATAAACTCTTCCATAATTAATACTAGATGTCTTCTTCCCTTTGGTGAAACAGATTAAATTTGAAACTGGTATAGAAAATAATGAAATGAAACCTCTATGACAATTGAAAAAAAAAACACCAATGCCACTAATAATGAACACAATGGGAGGCAAAAAACATATTTTTAAGCAATGATTACTCAAAAGAATGCCTTATAAAAAACTACATATAATCACGTTAAGAAAAAGCTTCAAGACTAGCAGCTGGGCTTTGTGAAACACGTAGGACAACGGAAGGCACTACAAAAGCATTAATCACTCCTAACTACAGTCTGACAGTTCAGTCTTTTCCTTCTTCTTAAGAAGATAGCCAGTGTGAATGTCATTTTTATATCCCCCTGAGTTTTATCATGATTGGGCAGAGAAGCACCAATTTAAAAAAATATCTGCAATGCCAGCACTGCAGTTTGGAATCGCTTAAACTGATGGCCCCACAGGTCTCTCATAAGAGCACTTTAGAACATGATTAAAAATATAGAAATGCCTTTTGGTGTTTCAGTATTAAAGTGGAACCACCACAGATATCCATTTTTTTAAAACTAATGCACTAAAAAGGTCTGTTTATACAGTATAGTCTTTCAACCCTGTAGCTAGCATTCACGGCTATTTTCCGCTCCGAGAGATCTTGGGCGTCTGGTTGAAGTGTCAGTATGCTTCATGATGTACAATCCTTTTGGCTGGAAAATCCTGGCAAATATCATGTCATGCCCGTTTTGAGCAGTATGCCTTGTAGGTCCTCTGGCAATGCTAAAATAATTGCATCTATATGTGTCCGTAACTTTTCCATAGTGTCAGGTTTCACAGGTAAATGCTCTCGATCAGCCTGCAACTATATAAGGAACATTTGGAAGCATTTAAATTACCTTTTGAGGCTGTATTAATACAGTTTATTCTCTAAATAAACAGTTTTAATGGTCAAAGATTTGGAAACTTCAGACTGAGACCAGAATTTACAGAATCTATAAAAAAGCAAAGAACATGCCACTTTAACAATACAATTGCTGAGCTCGAAAAAAGACTTCATGTAAATTAATAGATAATATCAACGCAGACCATGTGGTATTAAATATAAGTCACAATGTTTTTTGTAAAGCTCATTAGACTCCATGTAAATAACTAAAAAAAATATATGGCTTCATTATGATCTGCTTGAGTGACCAAGTATTTTCAGTCAGATCTACCATCAATTGACCAATCATAAGTCCTCTCATTTAAAAATTTACTTCTGTGATACATCAAAGCTATCACCTCAAATAAGAGCAAAACAACTTCACAGATCTTTGGCTGCTTTGGCTACATACCAGCTTGTTTTTTAGCTTCAATACAAGGTCTACTGTTTCTACTTCTGTGTGTTTCTGGGTCCAGTGAAGTAAGTCCTAGAAGAATAAACAAATCTCAAATCAGTAAATACTCAAAACAATATTCAAATCGTTCTATTTCAATAGGCAAGGCTACTGGGAAGAAAGGACAGGAAGGAAAAGGAGAACAGGGTATTTAACCCAGACATAGCATTATAGTATAATTCTGTACATAATATTCTGACAATGTGAATCAGATACTTTTTGACATTAGCCAGAATGACTGTCTAATATTCAGAAGTAAAACACAATGGAAGAAATTCCTTTCTGGCCCTTTTAGATCAATCAAGAGAAACAAAATTGGAACTTAAGGTACGATACTAACCCCTAACTCCACTAAGTATTGAGTAATTTATAAGGTACATCAACTAACAAATCAAGATAATTGCGAACATGAATATATTACTGTATACAAACTTTGCATCTTCAAATAAGCTCTTCCTGGGCTTATTTGTGGTTGCCTTCATGGTATTCTTTCTCTGAAAACCGGTCACTGAGAGTTTATGATTAGAAAGTTAACACTGAGGCTAGCCCACCTCAAGCTAAACACAAATTGAGACTATCCTTTATATTTTTAAAAGTAGCTTAATTTCAAATAGTCTGCTGACAAATTATAGAATACGAAAAAGTCCAAATACAGGAAAAATATATTAATAACTGGGAAAGGTGAATAACGCATGGTGGAAAAGGTGTTGAGTTAGACTGCTCGGATCTGAATTCTAACTCCATCCAGTGGTATGCTAGTAAATATTTAACAACTGGCTCTCAGGAAAAGTTCCTGGTTTATACCATTTGCCAGTTGCTGTGGTGTAATTCTCCCTCTGTAGCTGATTTCAAGCTACCAACCTGAGATCACTGAATACAGAGCTGGGAAGAGATGCACACGGCTGGCTCTTGTGAGCCAGTGCAAGTGGGCTCGAGCACACTGCTGGTTCCACTACTTAGCAGTGATGTGATCTGAAGCAAATCACTTAATTGATTAATGGATCACTCAATTGTCTCAATTAATCACTCAAGTGTCTCATAACGCAGATCATAACACACCTACTTCAATGAACTATGAAGATTAAAAGACTGTCCATTTAAAGCACCTGCACAGTCCTTGGCACATGGCACATGATCTGGAAAAGTTAGCTATTACTATTTATAAAGTAGTGGATATGGATATAACCTTTCAGCCTCTATGAATAACTTTATTTTCAATAGTTGTTAATCATCACACAAACGTGCTGTTTTCTAACCTCTTCACAAAGAGCTTCCAGATGGAGTGCCTCCAGTTTCTGGGTCATTTCCTTCCTCCGGGTCTTGAACCAACCATCAAAATTTGGAGATTTTAGAAAATGCCTGTAAAAATAAATTTTTAAAAAGCAAAGTTTGATTATGACTTAACTTCCTCTCAATACTTTTTCTACCGATAGCTAGGAGAACCATGTGAAACAATGTAATTTTTTAAAAAAAAGAATATGTTGGATTTCCCTGGTGGTCCAGTGGTAAAGAATCTGCCTTCCAATGCAGGGGACGAGGGTTCAATCCCTGGTTAGGAAACTAAGATCCCACGTGCAGTGGGGCAACTAAGCCTGTGCGCCACAACTACTGAGCTCACACGCCTCAACTAGAGAGCCCACACGCCACAACTACAGATCCCACAAGCCCTGGAGCCCGTGCGCTGCAACTACAGAGCCCACGCGCTCTGGAGACCCTGTGCCACAGCTAGAGAAGCGAAAACCCACACAACACAACTAGAGAGAAGCCCGCACGCTGCAATGAAGATCCTGCATGCTGCAACTAAGACGCGACGCAGCCAAAAAATTAAAAAAAAAAAAAAAGGATATGTTTAAGCCCAGTTTTTTGTTTCATTTTTAAATAAAGCTCTATAGATGGATGAAATAGAAAAAAAAGGACCAACCGGTAAAGTCCAATCCAATCGCCTTTTATTCTAGAGGTCAGCTGAGGTCCTGTTTTCTCAAGTGTTTTCATAAATTCTTCTGGAAGGAACTGTCTTAATTGGGGTGGACTCTAGAAAACATGACACACTGTATTTTAAAATTAAAAATGGATATATTCACAGAAGTTAACTGCAGTTAGACAACTCAAATAGGAATTTAACTGAATATATTTATACCTTCCATGGAGAAATGCTTTTCTGCAAAGGCATCAAGCTTGCCACATATCTTTCCTAAGTCCAAGAAAAAAAAGTTAGTCAAAGTCAGGTGTTCTTACTGAGAGAGTCTTCAAAAATGTTTAAACTGACCTACTTAAAAAAAGTGGGCTTCCAAGTTTTTCATCATATGCTCTTTCAATGGACATCAACAACACCATCACCAGTCTCAATAGATACACTAAATTTAGATTGAATTGAGAAGTCAGACTTCCAATAAAAATTTAACTAAATCTCAGATAATCCAAAGAACTACCTATTTTTAATGATAATAATTAACCTTATTGAGTAACTGTGTGCCAGAAAATGTACTCAACATTTTACATGCGTGATCTCTTTTAACTCTTGCAACTATCCTTTGTGGCAGGTATTACTGGGAAACTGAGGCTTCGAAAGGCTAAGTAACCTGCCCAAGTTCACACAGCTTGAACTTGAATTCCGGTCTACTTGACTTCAGCCCATGCTCTTAATTAAGCATTACAGTAAAGTTCACTTAATCAACTTAAGCAAGTTGATTTAAATGGAACAAAATAAATTGACATCTATAGACTAAGAAAAAATATTTCTTCCCAAAGTATAATAGCAAAGATTTCCAGACTGCCCTCCTATAATATTCTTAGATAGATTACATTAACAACTACACGAGTCTCTCTCTGATGCAGTCTCCAGACTAGGACCACATCATGGTACTGCCTTATACTGTGAGGCATAACTTTTAGTAATTTAACATGATGTTCCACTGAACTTCAAAAAATAATTATATCATCTAGTCATTTATTTCATAAATATTTATTGAGTGCTATCATGTGACAGACTGAGGAAAGGTAATGAACAAGACAGATAAGGAACTTCATCACGGAACTACATTCTCACAGGTATCATATCAAATTGTGCTCAAGAAAATAGTATCAGATTTGAAAACTTCTGCTCTTTCCATTACAGTAAATGCAGATGATAATGGCAGCTACCTCATAGAGTTGTTAGGAGAATTAAACAAATTGTTGCTCTCTAGCGCCAGTGCTTGGCAGTCTTAAGAAAGCACCTGCTTAGCTCTGCATAGTGAAGTTCTTCTTCCCAGTGAAATCTATTTAGCCCAGACCATGATCCTAGGGAGTTGCTATTTAATTCTTTAGAAAGTATAATCAGTAAACATGTTTTTTCACCTGCACAGTATCCTGGGAATGAAATATTGGAAGTCTTGGGTATGCTCTGCAAGGAATAGGTACTATTGTAGGATCTTGGACTAATAATAGAATCCTAAAATGTTCAACCTCATCTCTACCCCAATGCCTCCTTCAACCAGTTCAAGCTTTGTCCTGATACCTCAGACGAAATGGAAATATGAGCATACAACATCACTGCTTAAAACCTCCCCATCTGCTTGGGGAGCACAATCTGACTCTCTTAGCATGAAATAAAAAGTACCGATCAAAAAATAAATAAATAAATAAATAACATCAGAGAAAGAAGCTCCAGTAGAACATTTTAAGGTACAAAATTCAATAATTATATAATATTTCATAAAACTTATCTCATTTAAGATTCACAACAACCCTGAAAAGTCTTTAGGGAAAGTGTAATCAGCCACATTTTACAGATAAACAAATTGAGGGTCAAAGAAAGGAAGTGACTTACCAAATTACACAGCTAATACCAGAACAAAGAATTCAGGTGTCTTGCAAAGGGCTCTATTTTAATCACTACACACACGAGCAAGCAAAACAATTTAAGATAAAGTTTTGGTGGATGAAAAAAACATTCATGTGCCCTTCAACAAAGCATTAAATTAAGCAAATACGTATGCTAACTTACTAATGGAATGATGAAGCTTTGTGTCAGTTCCAAAAAATAACGTCGGAGAATAACGCTTTGAGCCTCAGAAGGACGCTTCTGTTGTACACCCTTAAAAGAGGAAAAAAATGAGAACCTATACTCTAGTGTCAGAGAATACAAAACAATGAATGCTTATAGAAGTTTAGCTGATATGTAAATATGTATTTTACTTGATAGGAAAAAAACCCTAGAACTTCATCTTGAAGTAATTTAATGTGAAGTTCACTGTGCAATATCCTGTAAAAAAATCCTTAGAGAAAAATATAAGACATTCATCCCATACCTTAAAATATTAGCTCACAACAAAGACTATATTTATTTCATACTTGTTGTATTAACAATATTTACATTTTCTAAAAAAATGCTAACTATCCTATTAGGTGTTAAGCTACCTCATAGTACAGTCCACGACTTTCTCACTATAACTCCTAAGTTTTCAGGAAGATTGGCACTAGGTTGGTAGCTGCAGTCCCATATTTCTAGCCCATAATTGCTGCTACATTAGTCTCCTGATTTTCATGAAGCTTTGGTTCAAAGTCCAGAGTCCAGAAAGACCTCTTTTCATATTATTGTACATAAAGCACATGTTGCTTTACTGGATACTGCATACCTGAGTAAGGAAATTTAAATTAATAATATGAGCAAGTAATCACCTTCTGCAATTGTTTCATGATTTCTTCATCTCTATTTAGATATGGCTTATAAGAAGTATAAACTCCTAAGAAGTAAAGAAAAGAAAATGAGGTGAGCAGTATGACCCATTTACCCATATAGTATGTGTTTTAAAAATTAATAAAAGTCAATACCAGGTTTAGAATCCAGAGTCTTTAGGTTCTTCAATTTTTTCACTTTAACCTGCTTAGGAATTTCACCTGAAGGAAACATCACAAAGATTCTTATAGTTATTTGAATTTCACATATCACAAAACTGGAATTTTCTAAGACTGATAATCCACTAACTGTTATGTACTTAGTCAGGGATGCTGTAGCTAAGGTATTCTTAACATCAGTGAATATTTAAGAGTTTATTCCTAGTACTTTAAAACTGGATAAAGGGAACACTGGGCTATATAACAGCATTACAGAAACAATTGTGTAAATTATATAAAATGGATATTTGATCTTTCATTAATATCTATCACTACTTTAAAATTTCCCTTTTTGTCACTCAACTTAAAATTTAAAATCTTTGTGCTAAATATATGAAACATGAATAAGATACCATTTTGAATATGATGCCAAATATAATACCATTTAAGAGTAAAGAGAATTGAAAGCAACTCCTAAGTTAGTATGAAGATGTAGTATTCAAAGATTTTTTTTCTGGTACCGCCCCAAATTCTGCTTTTGCAGTGTAAAAACACTGCCACCAGGTGGTGATAGTGGAAGCCACAACCACAGGCCTGAGCCACAGGTGGACTGGACTCTGGACTCCTAAGCAGGGGTGCTGTGTTGCAAAAAGGAGTATGAAGTAAAAGAGAGAAAAGATTACAGGATGAAATGTATGCTTTGTTGAATACTGCTCCTGGGTAGAAAGAAAATCTGAAGACATGTGCAGCAAGGAAAGAGAAGAAAGTGAGCTACTGTAGCTCTGTGGCGGAGATTTAAAAACAAGAGGCTTTGGGGACAGACTGAGAAACAATAGGAAAGAGTCCAGAAACACTCAGGTTTCTGGAATGTTTCTGATTTATTAGCTCACAGTTTTTACTTTGTCAACTTATTCTATATATTCCCACATAATAATTCTTATTTATTTATTTATTTTTTGGCTGCATTGGGTCTTCGTTGCTGCACGCGGGCTTTCTCTAGTTGCGGTGAGAGGGGGCTGCTCTTTGTTGTGGTGCATGGGCTTCGTATTGCAGTGGCTTCTCTCCTTGAGGAGCAGGGGCTCTAGGCGCACGGGCTTCAGTAGTTGTGGCGCGCGGGCTCAGTAGTTGTGGTGCACGGGCTCTAGAGCACAGGCTCAGTAGTTGTGGCGCATGGGTTTAGTTGCTCCATGGCATGTGGGATCTTCCCAGACCAGGTATCAAACACTGGCCCCCTGCATTGGCAGGCGGATTCTTAACCACTGCGCCACCAGGGAAGTCCCCACATACTAATTCTTATGAGAATGTCTCTCATCTTGAATGTTATCTCACGGTTTTGCTTTCCAGAGTTCAGAGTAGCTTTTGGTCAGAAGATTTGTAAAACTTTTTTTTCTTAAAGTGCGGAATTAATACATATTTAACTCTACAGATAACTAAATTCAAATCACTATCTGCCTCTGACTCTGAGAACCCAAAGGGACCTGATTCAAGGGACCTCATCAGGTGTAAGATGCATACTGAACTCTAACCCTAGCCACTATAATTCTTACACTGTAGTACATAATAGACATAAAGAAAACTAGTCATAAAGATACATTGTTTATTGCCAAAAAAAGTTAAATGGTATTTGTCAAATACATCTGGAAAATAAAATAAGAATGCCAGAAAATGAACTGAAGTCCTACAATTACAGATGTTTATTTTAATTAAAAAATACTTATTCAATGTCTGTTATGTACATGCACATAAGAGAGGGGTTTAACATTATTAAATTAATAATGTTCTGCACATTTGCATAACAATCTTCTACATTTAGGTCAAATGGTTTACGTTTGATTAAATCATCAAACCTAATTTCTGGTTAGAAATTCAGTTTATAATGTGATCCAATATACACTAGTAGAATTACTTTCTCTTTGAGGAATGCTTGTTCAGTACCATTATCCTAGCATTACATTTCTTCATTTAATAGGATTTGGGTGAACTAAAACTAGGTATAACCCATAAGAAGTAATCCCTTTATAGCAAGAGGAATGATCCCTCTGCAGGGTTAAAACTATATATATGTTTCTAATAAAGCTACAAACTTCTGGGCCCAGGAGAGCAAAATCTCAGTTCTGCTATGCCTTCCCTGCTGGTCCTACAGAACATACTTTATCTGCAGTTTTACTGACCCTCTCAGATAGTCTTCAATTTTCAAAGCCAGGATCCTAGGCAGAGCTGTTGTGTTTCCTAACTTGTGTAGCATATGCAGTGGTCCTAGTCTTGAGATCAATGGTAGAAAAGAAATATATCCCAAGATATATGCCCAGTACTCATAAATTAAAAGACAAATGGATTTTCATGAATGTGATACCAAAAACAGAGACAATAAAAGAAAATATTGATAAACTGGACTTCATCAAAATTAAAAACTTCCGCGCATCAAAGGATACTATCAAGAGAGTGAAAAGACAACCCACAGGAGAATACATTTACAAAGCATACATCTAATAAGGCATTAGTATCCGGAATATAAAGAACTACAACTCAACGAAAAAACCAACCCAATTAAAAAACAGGCAAAGTGGACTTCCCTGGTGGTGCAGTGGTTAAGAATCTGCCTTAACCACTGCCAGGGTACACGGGTTCGATCCCTGGTCCGGGAAGATCCCACATGCTGCAGAGCAACTAAGCCTGTACGCCACAACCGGCTGAGCCTGCGCTATGGAGCCCACAAGCCACAACTACTGAGCCCACATGCCACAACTACCGAAGCCCACGCGCCTAGAGCCCGTGCTCCACAAGAGAAACCACCGCAATGAGAAGCCTGCGTACTGCAACGAAGAGTAGCCCCCACTCACCACAACTAGAGAAAGCCCGTGCGCAGCAATGAAGACCCAACAGAGCCAAAAATAAATTAATTAATTAAAAAAAAAAAAAGGGAAAAGGACTTGTAAAGACATTTCCCCAAAGGAGACATAGAAATGGCCAATGAGAACATGAAAAGATGCTCAATATTACTAATCATCAGGGAAATGTAAATCAAAACTACAATAAAATACCACCTCACACCCATTAGGCTACTATCAAAAAAACAGAAAATAACAAGTGTTGGTGAGGATGTGGAGAAGTTGATATCCTGTGCACCACTGGTGAGAATGAAAAGTGAAAACAGTATAGCAGTTCCTCAAAAAGTTAAACATGATGACTATATGGTCCAGCAATTCCACTTTTAGGTATACAGTTGACCCTTGAACAACATGGGTTTGAACTGCCCAGGTCCACTTATACATGGATTATTTTCTTTTTTTGATGAATATATACAGTACTACAAGATTTGCAGTTGGCTGAATCCACAGATGTGGAACTGTGGATACAAAGGGCCAACTATGGGAGTTGAACATCCTCGGATTTTGGTATCTGTGGCAGGTCTTGGACCCAATCCTCTGTTGATACCAAGGGATGACTATATACCCAAAAGAAGTGAAAGCAGGGACTGGAGATATTTGTACACACATGTTCACAGTATTATTCACATAGCTAAAAGATGGAAACAAGCCAAGTATCCATCAACAGATGAATGGATAAGCAAAATGTGGTATATACATATGATGGAATATTTTTCAGCCTTAAAAAGGAAGGAAATTTTGACACATACTACAACATGGATGAACTCTGAGGACATTATGCTCAGTGAAATAAGCCAGTCACAAAAGGACAAGTAGGTAGAATTCCACTTACATGAGATACCCAGAGTAGTCAGATTCACAGAGACAGAAAGTGGAATGGTAGTTGCCAAGGGTGGGGGGTGGGGCGATGTGGAATGCATAGGGAGCTACTGTGCAATAGTTTCAGTTCTGCAAAATGAAAAGAGTTCTGTGGATAGATGGTGGTGATGGCAGCACAACCATGTCAATGTACTTACTGCCACTGAACTGTACACTTAAAAAATGATTAAGATGGTAAATTTTATGTTATGTATATTTTACCACAGCTTTTTAAAAAAAGGAATAAAATTCTAATACATGCTACAGCATGGATGAATCTTGAAAATGTTATGCTAAGTGAAATAAGCCAAACACTAGAGGAGAAATACTGTATGATTCATAGAAACAGAAATTAGAATAGAGTTCACTAGGGGCTGGGAGATGAGAGGAATAAAGAGTTATTGTTTCATGGCTACAGATCTTCTGTTTGAGATGATGCAAAGTTCTGTAAATGGATAGGGCTGACAGTTGCACAACACTGTTAATGTACTTAATGCCACTGAATTGTACACTTCAAAACTGTTAGAATGGTAAATTTTATGTTATATATATTTTGCTATAATAAAAAAATTTTAAGATAAGTGGGAAAAAGTATCATAAACATACTAAACTTAATGAAATTTTGCACATCTGTTAAGACCTGTGCTCAAACGACACAATCCAGTCCCAGAAATAGGTACTACAGTCTTGCTCAAAATCATTTAAACACCCCTGGTATCATTGCTCACAACGTATCACCTCTGCTAATTGAACAAGGACCAAACTGAGGACACTGACACTCTCTACCATCCACTCCTCAATGACCACTAAGGATCTATAAAACATAATGTTTCCATACAACATCATCACTCTCCTGTAGAAAAAGTGATACCTTTTTCTATATGATATGGTCCAAATACTCTGGTGACAGAAATAATCAGAGGGAACACAGCATCTCATCCCTAAAATAGGCTGCTTAAAATAAAGTGTAGGGCTTCCCTGGTGGCGCAGTGGTTGGGGGTCCGCCTGCCGATGCAGAGGACACAGGTTCGTGCCCCGGTCCGGGGGGATCCCGCATGCCGTGGAGCGGCTAGGCCCGTGGGCCATGGCCGCTGGGCCTGCGCGTCCGGAGCCTGTGCTCCGCAACGGGAGAGGCCGCAGCGATGAGAGGCCCGCGCACCACAAAAACAAAAAAAATAAAGTGTAATTAATATTCCATATATGCCCTTACGCCCATTTTGAAAAATAAACTCAAGAAGTGTCCCCTTCCCTCCCTTGGTCCTAGGTCCTACTTTTAAATGGTAACTTCACCTGTCTGAAGAGGATTCTCAGAGCAGCAAAAATATTAGCTATCAAGACATCACAAGAAAAGGATATCCCTCATGGATAAAGATGTAAAAATCCTCAAAAAAAATTAGCAAACTAATAATAATAATAATAAAGGACTATACACCATAACCAAAAGGGATTTATTTAAGGAATATAAGGTTGGTTTAACATAAAAAATCAATTAATTTAGTATACTGTAGTAATAAAGGACAAAAAGTACACGATGATCTCCACAGATACAGAAAAAGCATTTAACAAAATTCAACACCAATTCATTATAATCTTTTTCAACAAACTAGGAACAGAGGGCTACTTCCTCAACTTGATAAAGGACATCTATGGATGTCCTCTATGCATTTTTTTGGTAGGTGGACACGATGGGTTATACATATAAGAATCTGTATATTTTAGCTGGAAGCTATGCTCTTCTCCAAAGGCTTTTATTCAAGTTGCCTCAAAGAAGGTTGCCATCAACATAATTAAAAAGTAACGAAGCAGTGAAAACAAAGGAAGAAATAAACCTGCTCATCCACCTTACATACTAAAACGAGAACACCAAGTTTATACTTTACCTGCAGGTTTAAGGTCTCCTATCCGAATAATGTGTGGCCAGTGCTGGAGTGTTTTTGCAAAAAAAGGGTTGGTTACTCCTAATATGACTGAGGGCCTACATTAAAACAAAACAAAACAAAACCAAAGTGAGGAAAAAAATGAATGTTCCATCAGTTTACAATTTATTTTGAGTGAACTACTGTTTACTCAAAGATTACTAAGATAATCTTTTCCTTCACTGGTACCACATATCAACTACATTCCAGGCACCATTTTTAGCACTAGGTATATAAAGATGAAAAGACACAGTTTTTCTAAAAGCACACAGGAAAAGCGGTATACATAACCAATTATGATACCAGAAATTAGAATACAGTGAAGGTGGTATAAAATGTACAATTATTACAAAGGAGAAACTATGTCTACCAGGGGATTAAGGGACAGCCTCACCAAAGAGATGACATTTGCACAAAGCTATGAAAGATGAACAGGAGGTTTTTTTTTGAAGGATAGTTGATATATAACATGATATAAGTTATGAACAGGAGTCTTTTGCCAGGTGGATAACGGAAGAAAATGTGATGCAGGAGAATGAATAGTATGTGCAAAGCAATGAAGTGAGATCACGGTCTGTTTGTAAAACTACATATAGTTCAGCATTCCTAGAGCACAAAGCAGGAAGAATGAATAGTCAGAAATGAAAGCAGATGGGCAGATGCTGGCCAGATGATTCAGTACCAAGTTAATATGCTAAGAAATTCAGATGTTATCTTGTAGGCAAACAGAAGCTACTAGAGAACTGAGTGGAAGAATGCTACATGAACAAAAATGTACTTATTAGAAAGATCACTCTGGGGGAAATTTGGAAGATGCTGTGCAAAAAGGGGAAGAGGTTTGGGAAAAGCAACAGCAAATACGAGAAAGACTGGAGGTAGTAAGACTAGGAAGAGAGCTCTGGAAAGAAGATAACAAATGTTATGAGAGATATTTTAGGATGTTGAATTGACAGAATTTGGTAAAACTTCACGTGGAGCACATTAAGAACGAGAAATTTACGACAATTTAGGTTTTTGATAACTAAGTGAAAAGAAGCACCATTCATGAAGTAGGAAGAGGCATGGAACTAGGGAAGAAAAGAAGGAAACAAAAAGAATTCAGTTTGAACACGTTTAATTTTGGGTGCCATTAAGATGTCCAGGTGGCAAATACGATAAAAAAACAACAACAAAAACCTGGACAGAGGTCGAGACCTTGCAAAGATTTGAACTAGGAAGATAAATTTCAGTCATCAGTATATAGGTGTTAACAGAGACTGTGGGTACAGATAAGACTGTACAGAAAGAAATATCAGTCTGAAATCAGAACCCAGAACACAATACTGGAGAACACCAACATTTAAGCGGTTGGCAGAGAAAAAGAAGTCTGCACAGGAGACTGAGATGCACCAGCCAGGTGAGACGGTACCAAAGATTAAAATGTTTTCAACGTCAATAGAGTAAGTGTTACAAGAAAGGGAAGGCAGGAAAAACAGGGCAATAATGTGCCCACAGGTTCAAGGCAGTGAGAATGGTCTTGATGACTTTGGCAAGAACTTCAGCAGAGATGAAGAAATCAACCTGCAACGAACTGAGAAGCAACCAGGAAACCAAGAAGTGGAGAGGGTAAATGGAAATTTTTGTTGTTATTCTAGAAACAGCTATGAAAAGAAGGTGAACAACAGAGCAGGAACTAAAGGGGAAAGGTAAGATATTTCTTCCCCTTTTACAGATTGGGAAGAATTTTTATATGTTTATATGCTGATTCAGTGAAGAGGGAGAAGGAAAAGGAAGTTACAGAGCAAGAAGAGATAACTGATGCTATAAGGGGTCCTGAAGTAAAGAACAAAGATAGAAGTAAAAGTAGTCAGATAGCTATTAAATTAGAGGAATTAGCTATTAATTAGCGGAAGACAATACAGCTTCCACTAACAAATAAGATCATTCAAAGAAAATAGGATAATGACTCTTGAAATGTGAAATTATTACCAGCAGCTCCTCAAAGCTTCCTTTATAAAATCAATCTGCCAAAAGTTCAAAATTTAAACTTTTCAATTATTACCAAAAATAATTCTACATAATTTGGTTATAAAGGTAATACTTGGTCAATAAAAGTTATTTTGTTTACTCACGGGGCTTGAGTACGGGTGGTATATTCTTTGAATTCACTATCATGAATAGTGAAATAAGGTCGGAAATCACTGAAGTACTTTAATGGAGAAATACAGCTGCAGAGCAAGAATAACATGTAAAACAAAGGACAGAAATTAAAGGCCCTACTCAATAACTATGAAATATCTAAACACAGAGTTTACCCCAGTGGGATCATCTATCTATAACTCATTTCAGGAAACTAGAAAGACAAATGGAAAAATGTAATGTAGATGGCATACCAAAAACACACTGGATTTGGGGCAGAAGACGGGGTGAAATTCTGGCTCTATCATTCATTAGCTACATACCTTTTTCTAGACACTGACCATTCACACAACTGATTTTTATCAGGTGCTAACTTTATGTAAGTGAATGAATGTGCTTATTGCCCAGAAAAACAAAAACATGGAATCTGAAATAATTTTCTCATCAATAAATGGTGTTATAATGAGCACTACCTTCTTACAGGATTATTGTGTAGATAATGCAATGAGTGTGCAAACATATCACAGGTGGTAAACTGTTGCAACTATCACCATGAGGAACCAAATATACTCACTTAACAAGTGCCAATACAGTCTCTGACGACTCTGATGGTGACGGTGCCATGACCACGAGGGGCTCACCCAACAGCACCAGCTCCCAAAGCATCTGACTATGAAGGAAAACTGGGCAGAAACACCTGAAAGGTGTTTACGCAGCAGAGACACTGTTATTTATCCATCCCTGTTTTTTTTAAGTTCCCATATAATCATTCTAAAAACTTCACATTGATACAATTCTTCCAGCTATGTGTACCTTGACCTGATATACAAATTCATTTAGAATATGGTGATGCGGACTTCCCTGGTGGTGCAGTGGTTAAGAATCCATCTGCCAGGCTTCCCTGGTGGCGCAGTGGTTAAGAATCCGCCTCCCAATGCAGGGAACACGGGTTCGAGCCCTGGTCCGGGAAGATCCCACATGCCGCGGAGCAACTAAGCCCGTGCTCCACAACTACTGAGCCTGCACTCTAGAGCCCGTGAGCCACAACTACTGTAAGCCCACGCGCCTACAGCCCGAGCTCCGCAACAAGAGAAGCCACCGCAATGAGAAGCCCGTGCACTGCAACGAAGAGTAGGCCCCACTCACTGCAACTAGACAAAGCCCACGTACAGCAATGAAGAACCAACGCAGGCAAAAAATAATAATAATAATAATATGGTGATGCACATAGATATAAGTTCCTTTTATCCACACAAAAATATATAGCAATTTTACTTGTTCCAAGTTTTACAAAATTAAATGTAATATATTGACACATAGAATGGCTAACAAATGATAAAAGCATATAAAATAATTATTAAATTATTATACCATATAGTATATCTAGTTTATCAATATTGCTGTTACATTTGAATTTCTACTCTATTTTGAAGGAAACAAGAAAAATTAATTTTCCAAAGGATGTTTACTGGATGTACTTAATTTCAAAGTCAATGCTTTCAATATTAAAGAATGAGGAAAACAAATCACAAGGAGGTGTTCTAACACCAAACGACAGAATGCTTTCCTAAGCAGATCCTCCCCCTACAGAAATGTTGCATATTTTTACAGTAGCCCTGGAATTAGGCAGAAGCCTATAGGACAAAACTCTGGTACATTATCTAGCCTAAGTTAATTTGATAACTTTTACTTATTTAGTAATTTCCTCCTAGTAGGGTCAAAATTTTTCCTAGTATATTAGAGGGAAAAAAAACTACATTATCTATTTATAAAAATCATAACCAAAGGACTTTCCTGGTGGCACAGTGGTTAAGACTCCACGCTCCCAAAGCAGGGGGCCCGGGTTCAATCCCTGGTCAGGGAACTTGATCCCACATGCATGCTGCAACTAAGAGTTCACATGCCACAACTAAGGAGCTGGCAAGCCACAATTAAGGAGCCTGCTAGCCGCAACTAAGGAGCACACGTGCTGCAGCTAAGGATGCCGCCTGCTGCAACTAAGATCCGGTGCAACCAAATAAATAAAGTAAATGTTAAAAAAAAAAAAAGTAACCAATCTACCTACCTGAAAACATACACACACAAGAAAGAAAAGGGAAAAAATACAAGTAACTTTTAAGTGTAAAAATATGAAACAAATTTGTGAGATGGAAATTAGGGAAAGTTCATTTTAACTATTCAAAGGCAAGAAGAGAAATGTGAAGGAAGGGCAAAAAACCAAAAATAAAAACAATAAACAGTTCAAGGATAAGGCAAAGGAGCTCTTCCTCCTTCCTTCCTAAACAATTCAATCCTACAGCAAAACACACTGCATGGTAGGCATCTCTGCCAAGAGGGAAAGAGAGCCCTGCTGGCCTGAAGAGCGTATCAGGACTTGTGTGAGATAAGGCAGACATCTATGTGGAGGAGGTGGCTTGTCGTGGGGGTGTTGGAACTCTAATGTAGTGAGAAAGGTGTGCATGTGTGCAGGTGATCTGATTTGGGGTGACAGAGCCCAGGAATTGTGAGGGGCGTGGAGGGGCAGCAGGTGCAGAGGGTCAGAGCCAGAGTGGGCTGGGGAGGCTGTCCATGGTGGGGTGTCAGAGCAGGGGAATGAGGGTGAACGTATGGAGGGGTGGCCTGCAGTAAGGTGTAGAAGCACAAGTAGGGAAAGGAGGGATCCACGTGGGGGCTGGCTTGGCACTGGGAGTCAGAGCACGACAGGGTGAGGATGGCATCCACAAAGAGAGGTGGCCTAACGTGTGGTATGGAAGCCGGACTGGGGCAAGAGGGGAACCACGTGGGGGGGTCAATCAGGCATGGAGCAGGGCCTAAGCAGGGTAAGGAGGGTGTCCATGAAGAAGAGCAGCCAGGTGGGCAGTTTCAGAGCCCAAGAAGGATAAGAAAGGCATTTGCTCAGAGAAGAAGGTTGCAGCAGAGACGAGAGATTGGTTACTAGCATGGGCCGATCAAATAAGTAAATGAATCAAGGATAATAGGATGTAGCTCCTCTGTCAGAGAAAAGAAATACAAATATGAAAAGGGAAAAAAGTAGAGTGGAATTAGGGGTATTGGTGTGACTTTATAGTTTTCAATATATATGGATATAGAAATAAATATGTATGTAAAAGTGTTTAAATACTATATATGAGTGTGTATGTATACATGCATTTACAGATACATATTTTCCTTAGCTCTGTCCACTAACAGGGATATTCCCTTAGCAAGGAGCACAACCAATGCCCAGATCTTGACTTCTAAATCCTATTCTCTACTAAGTAGCTGATTCCAGGGCTGGGGAAGAGAAAATACAAGATAATCTTGGAACTCAACAGAATTGAAAACATATGTCCACACAAAGGCTTATATACAAATGTTCACAACAGCATTATACATAACAGCCAAAAAGTGGAAACCATCCAAATGTCCTTCAATGGATTAATGGATGTGATATATCCATACAATGGAATACTATTCAGCCATAAAAAGAATGAAGTAATGATTCATGCTACTGCATGGATAAACCATGAAAATAATAAGCTCAGTGAAAGAAGGCAGACATAAAAGGTCACATATTGTATGATTCTATCTATATGATATGTCCAGAATAGACAAATCCAAAGAGACAAAGTGGATTAGTGGTTACTAGGGGCTGCAGGGAAGAGGCCATGGGGACTAACTGCTAATGGGGTACAGGGTTACTTTTTGAGTGATGAAAATATTCTGGAACTAGACAGTAGTAATGGTTGCACAACTCTGTGAATATACTAAAAACAATTGAACTGTATACTTTGAAAGAGTGAATATTATGTATGTGAATTATATATCAATTTTTTTAGTTAGAAAAAAAAAGATAAGCCTGGAACAAACAAGTTAGTGTTTCAAGAATGAAAAGGATATGACAAAAAAAGAAAAACAGAGGCCAGCTTGAAATGGATTCTCACTGGCCAAACTGGGGACAATTTGAACATCAAAAACTGATGAGAATAATGGATTTTAATAACCTGTTGAATAAAACAAGAAACCAAAAATCCATACAGATATACATACATGGTGCAATGTTTTAAAATATTTCTACAAATTCTTTGACACTCCTTTTAAAGCACTGAGCCTATTTCTCACCATCTTAGGTGGGCTGGGTTAGTGGCTTGCACTTAATGAACAGAGTAAATTAAAGCAATAATATACAACTTTTTTTTCAATAATCGTTGAACAAATGAACCTTTAATAGCAGTTACACCATTGAGGTGTCCTGATCCAACATCGAGGTCATAAACCCTATTGTCAATATGGACTCTAGAATAGGATTGTGCTGTTATCCCTAGGGTAACTTGTTCCGTTGATCAATTTTTGGATCAATAAGTGATATTATGCTTTGGCTAGTGGGCCTAAGCTTTAATCACTCAGAGGTTTTTTTGTGCTCTAAAGTCACCCCAACCGTGTGGCATGTGGGATCTTAGTTCCCCGACCAAGGATCAAACCCGCGCCCCATACAGTGGAAGCGCAGAGTCCTAACCACTCGACTTCCAGGTAAGTCCCAATAATATACAACTTTGAAGCCTGAGTCATAAAAGACATTGTGACTTCAGCTTTCTCTCAGATCACCTGCTGAATGTTGTGAGAAAATTTAAGCAGCCCTTTGGAAACGTCCACATGGCTGGAAATGAAGGTCTCCTGCCAACAGTCACAAGGAACTGCGACCACCAGCCAACAGCTAAAGTAGCTTTCTAGGGAAGCAGACCCTCCAGCCCCACTTGTCCAACTGACTAAAACCTCAGCTGACATCTTAACTGCAACCTCACAAGAGATCTAGAACTAGAACCATCCAACTGAGCAGTCCCCAGATTCCTAACTCTCAGAAACTGTGTGAAATAATGTTTGTTCTTTCAAACTTCTAAGTATTGGGGTAACTTATTACACAACAATAAATAAATAGTTTCAACGTATAGCTTCAACGTATCTCCTCACAACGTATCTCCTCACAAAATATTTAACTACAAAAGGAAAAAGAATAATTTATCAATGGAGAAGCTTGGAGAACACCACACTAATAAAGAGATCAAAGTGAACATTATCAGCAATGAGGCAAGCCAACCTTATGTGCTACCTCCTGGTCTGAATCTTATTATGAGTAAATCCCAGACAAACCCAAGCTGAGGAATTTCCTGTAAAATAACTGTCCTGTAATCCACAAGAATGTCAGGGCCATGAAAGGAAGACTGAGGAGCTATTCCACACTGAGACTAAACAGACATGACATCTAAATGCAACAGATGGTTCTGAACTAGATATTATTGTGACAACTGGACACATTTGAATGTGGTCTTAGTATTAGATGGTATTAATTTATCAATGTTAATTTCCCAATTTTTTTGGTTGCATTGAGTCCTTCCTTGTAGGAAACAGACACTAAAGTATTAAGGGAAGATGGGGCATCAGGTCTCCAACTTACCATCAAATGGTTCTAGGAAAAAAAAGTTTACTATACTGACCACTTTTCTGTAAAATCTGTGATTGTTTCAAAATTTTATACAGATACATAAATTTTATATAAATATTTATATATGTAAAATTTTGAAATAATCACAAATTTACAGAAAAGTGATCAGTACAGTATATATAATTTTTAAAATGTATAATTTATATATATTATATATGTATATTTGTAATTTTAAAATAAGCAAAGGAAAAATGGAAAAGACCTATATGGAAACATCTGACCAACTGACTTTAATAGTGGGATGCCCTTAAGGCATCAAAGTTGCAAATCAGTTTTTCTCTGAAGTATAGTAATGTTATCTATCAGCAAGGGCACAAACAGATAGGAAGTACAATTACAAGATGAAGCATTCTCTGAAACCTCTGTATTACGCTAGTAATATCTGTTACACAAAGTAGTTTTTATTGGGGGGAGGTAAGTATTAAATATTCAAGAGAGGAAACCTTTAATAGATATTGGTGGTATACATCAAATTAACGGCAGTGTAGAATTACTAAAATGAGGGGTTTGTAGGGAAATCACAGTCTTCTTTTAGCACCACTTTTATATTCCCATTCTGGAGTATCATGCTTTATGCTCTCAACCCACTCCCCCCAACTCCCCAAAAAAGGCCATCCCTAGAAAAAAAATTATTTACCATTCTCACACCCAACCAAACAAAAATAATCTGTGTCTACCATGTAATACCCAATCCATATCCAAATTTCCCTAGTAGTCAAAGCAACTGACATGCAGTCAGGGATGAACCACTGATTTACAACATGTGAAACATGACTATTTTCTTCCAGTTTTTTCCACATTTTATATGGGAATATTCACTTTCTAAAGAAATTAACAACAATATCATAAAGCAATGAGACAAGGCAGTTAACAAAATTTTTTAGTCTTTACCTGAAAAGATCCACCTCATGAACAGTAGGTAAAATAACAGATATATGTGTGTCTCCCTAAGAGATAAAAAAGAAAAAAAAATAGACAAGATGTCACCCAAATTGCCAGAAACTGACTTTTATAATATGCCTATCTATCTCATAATCAATCAGCCATGTTGCCCTGTCTTCTAAGAGTCTCTTCCTCCAGAAGCAGCTACAAAGAGAATGGGTCTTAACAGTCTCCCCTAACACAGCAGGTCAAGGACAACATAGATTCCACCGATAAAACATTAATCCGGTGGTCAGATGTTAGATTAATTCTCAACTGTATGAATACTACCATAATACCAGTTGACATATATAACAGGCAAAATTTGTTTTCCTATTGCTCTCCATTTTTATTTAGTTCAAAGGAAAATGGGAGTGCTAATATACAGTTAAATCATTTCAAATGAAAAATTCATCCCCACCCATGAACAAATGTAACTTTGGGGAAAATGAAGGGCAATTATAACTACAGAATCCTTTTGATTAAGTTTCCTAAAAACAGAAGTCTGTTGACCACTCTTCTAAGGTAAGAGGTTTTGTTAGAATTAAACCTTGTTTAATTTTTCAAAAGATAATTTTCTCCTTGTCCTCACAATTACAGTATAAATTCTGAGTTCTCCAGTGTCTACTAGAGAAAGAACAAGAAAAAAAAATCGGAAAATAGGAAGCTTATTATCAATTCATTAAAAATTATTTAATAGGATATTTCAGTGATATTCAGAAATGTATCATAAACCCAAGAAACTCTACATTTGCTAGTTTAAAATTTCTGTTAAAGAGACTATATATGCTGGATTATTCTACCACAGTAGCACACTACCTGCTGAGTTAACTGCACTATTTGAGTTGTCCCAGGCTTGTCATGACATGTGGGAATCCGTACCTAAAAGAGAAGAAATTAACTTTGGCTACAAAAGAATGACCTTTCTGTAACTTGCGAGTCCTGCTACAATGAGGGATCAGAAGCACTCTATCCTGATGCTAAAAAGGTACACTCAACAATGCCTAAAAAGCCATAAAAACAAAATACTTATGTCAGATTAAAAACTAAAGTCATATTTATTTTTAGTCACAACAGAAGGTAAGTGAACCAAGGTCTCCACATTCCCATACACACAGAAATCACTAACCCACTGAGAAGCAAACGTGCTGAAAAACAGAAAAGGACATCAACTACATACCACTTCCTGTTTATTGTTCCAATCTTTGCTTCATTAATATACACACACCCAAACACACCCTCTCAAGCTTGCCAAACTATGGGATAAATCTCACAGGGAACCATGAGAACTCTCAACCCAGACCTACTTTTGATGATTTCCCATGGAAAAAACAGAACAGAGGTCCTACAGAAATGAGCACATCTAAAGAGAGAACATTGCCAAAAATAAGTTCAACTTGAAAATGAATTGCAAAAGCACTTACAGCACATTCATACAAAGCCTGAGAGCAAAATGCTAATTCATTGTATTAAAAAAAAACCTTAGTAGAGAACAATACCCTGGGATGGACATGTTGGTCTGAAAATACACATTAAAAAGATCACTTAAGACTAAGAACCAATGACCTGCTGTATTAAAAAAAAAAAAAAAAAGACTAAGAACCAATGGCTTTCCTAATTTCTTTTAAATTTTACTAACTCATACTCAATTCTACAAGTGTTCTGCAATACCATCCATTTCTGGAGGGCCATGAAGTTGCACAATTCTAGGAGGTGGCATTTACATTCACATGCATTGTATAAGAATGACAGCATCATGTAAACTCTACAGGATGAAAATGGGACTGGTGACCCCTGGAGTTGTGTGACTAATGGTTCTGTGCAGCAGGATAAATTGCGGTACCTTTGTAACTCCTCACATCAATGACAAGTGAAAGCAACAACAGGACTGAATGTTATTAGGAAGTTAAAATCAAAATTCATGTGTGAGCTTCCTAAAAAAGGAGACAAATGAAATATAAGCTATTATTACCTTCATTACTACCCCCATAATAGGCAGATGTAATGTTTTCCCTGGCATTGGTGCAGGCCATCGATCAACATCATTACAAGCTGAAAAATATAGTAAAATATTTCTTTAGTATAAGTGGAAATACTAAAATATTAAAAATGGAACATTAGAAGTTAGAACTCCACTTTATGCTTTCTATATAGCAGAAAAAATACACTGGGAAGGATGGAAGATAAAAGGCAAAAGTACTGAAAATATCTTATATTTCACCAGATATACATCTATGTTCTAGGATATAAATTGGTTAATACATGTTTTGAAAGCAACAGATTAGGTTTAAAGGGAGTTTTCCTACTCATTTATTACTACTAACATTAGCTACAAAAGCACACCACCTAGCAGATGTCTTCTCTCTGTATTGAGTGACATAAGGATTTCTGTTTAACAGTACTCTGAGTATCAGAATTGGCAACTCAATATTTGTTTATTATTATCCTAAAAAATAGGCATCATCCGTGCTGCAAAAGGAGAAATAAAAGATAGGATCTTTGGTGTTTGTAGGTAAATATGGCAGAAGAATTGTTTTACCTCTCTCTCCTATCTTACAGTCCTTAAAATTCTTAACTAATTTTTTTTCATTCATTTCCAGTAAAAAATTTAAAACTCCTTCATAAAGGTACCTAACTCACACAATGTTTAACTTACCTGCTTCCAAATAAGGTTCATTCTTTTCAAAATACTCTGGTGCTATCTGTTTGAGCACAGTGTGAAAAAAATGAATATAAGGTAGTTTGCTGATCAAAACCAAGGACTGGAGGGAAAAAAGAAACAATGTTTAATTTCTTAATGATTATAATTTTAGTTTGCCATTTCTTATATAATCAATTATTAACAAGCCAAATTCAGCGAAAAGTGTGGATTTTAAAATAAAAAGGCTTTTACAGTAGATGGTTAAAAGAAACATAAAACTATAGTGGCAGAACACCAGAAGTTTAACCTTATTACTACATTTTAAGAGCATAAAGACACATTCACAGATTTTCCTGCTGCGCAGGAAAAAGAATTTCCTATAAACAAACTAATGTCTTGGATAATTCCAAAGTCTGGCTACTATTGCTGTCAGCAAAGCAATATTAGGAATTAGCTAGGTAAACTCTTCCTAAAAAGGAAAGCACAAATTGTGATGCTTTTTCTGACAAAGAGCTATGACTGTTACATTTTAGAGTTCAATGGTTTTAGCCACATTCTTAGAAATTGTGACTTTATAGTTTGTGACCACTTCAGATATAGATTATGCTGACTTTTTAAAAATCTATTTTCTTGAAAACTACTTTTTATCTTTCCATTAGGCATCAATTAGTGGTCAGGGCATGTTCTGGTTACAAAAGGTAAAGGTGTGTCCCTGTTAGCTGGGATTAAATTGGAATTAATTGATATATATATATATATATATATATATATCTTTAGAAACAAAAAGATTGTACATTTAGAGTGGGAACAATAATGACTAAGATGTTGATCAAGTATATTTACTAGCTCTTCAAAAAAAAGATATTGCAGGCTTTTATTAGCTGTAACTATGTTACTATGTTACAATCTGTTTACTCTTTCCCTTATTCTAAAATGTGAAAATTCAACAGATTCTTCTGAGTTTTGACAGTTTCATACAATAACTGTAACTTACTGTCATAGTACAGAGATAGCAGGAAGGCAAAATTCAATAGCAGTTAAAAATCTAGGGACTTCCCTTGTGGCGCAGTGGTTAAGAATCCGCCTGCCGACGCAGGGAACACGGGTTCAATCCCTGGTCCGGGAAGATCCCACATGCCGCGGAGCAACTAAGCCCATGTGCCACAACTACTGAGCCTGCGCTCTAGAGCCTGCGAGCCCCAACTACTGAGCCCGCACACTACAATAATGAAGCCTGCACACCCTTGAGTCCGCACGCCGCAACTACTGAGCTCACACACCACAACTACTGAAGCCCGTGCGCTCTAGGGTCCGCGTGCTGCAACTACTGAGCCCGCGTGCCTAGAGACCGTGCTCCAAGAGAAGCCACCAAAATGAGAAGCCCATGCACCGCAACAAAGAGTAGTCCCCACTCGCCCCAACTAGAGAAAGCCTGCATGCAGTGACAATGACCCAATGCAGCCAAAAAAAACTAAGGACAGGTGTCTACAATCTAAAAAAAAAAAGATAAAATATAAATTCTAGTATGTTTAAAGATAAAATATCAAACACTTTAAAGACTGTTCATTCTAATAATTTCTATTCTTCTAACCACAATGTAAAAATATTTTTCTGTTAATGTATATGAAAATTACCTTCTGAAAGTAGCCTCTTTTTAGAGTTTTGTCTCGAACTTGTCGAAAATACACATATCCATAAAAATAGGCAGGATCCTTCTATAAAAGAAGTGACAAATTAAAAAATATATATATATATATAGCCATCCTTTCTTATTAAAAGCAGGTTCCTTTATAAACTTGAACTGAGATATGAGGTACACACAAAGAGCTAGTTATGCTTTTCCACCAATGCAAACAACAATCATGACAATAACTGGAAGATAAAAACCTGCTAACTTGCCCACAGATGAAATAATCATAACTAAAGTACTAAGGTCAGATTTTACCCCCTATAACTTACTCTGTTTATGTTCTTTATTCATATCTGTGGTAGTTAATGGAAGTTAGGAAAACAATCAAATTCTGTTTTCCCCAATGCTATACTTAGTTTTGAAAAAATTCTGCCTACAATTCTGAGTTAGGCATCAGTCTTATGAGGTATACTAATGCAAAATTTCAAGAGAGAAAATAAAAGGAGTTAAATGCCAATATGAATCTTACATAGACAGTTACATTTTTACCCAACAATAATGAAACACTGGAATATTTATCAACATACAATTTGAAAGGTCCAAAAAACTTAAAAGTTTTTATATCCTAATGGAATAAACTCTGGTCCAGTTCCTTATTTGATTGTTATTCTTTAAGCAAATATTTATTGACTACCTACTTTGAACAAGGCATTGTGTTAGAAAAGATAAAAAGATGTGTAAGACACAGTTCCTTAAGGAGATCACAAACTAAGAGCGATAAGAAAAGTACAAAAATGACTAGTATGTGATAGGAGGGCAGGTACCATGCAAAAAAGCACAAAGTGTTACAAAGAGGCCAAGGGGGAAGAGGTTACTTCTGTCTGTGGCGATCAGTATTTTGCGGAGGCAGCTAGTTTTAAGTTGGGCATTGAAGGATGGATATGATTTAAACAAAGACAAAGACATTTCAAGTTTAGACAGCCAAGAGTTTGAGCAAAACCACGCAGAGATAGAAAAATACAAGCTACCTCAGGAAAAAGCATACAGTTCAGTTTAGCTAATATATGGCACATGTATAGAAAGGAGATTAAGCTGGAAATCTGAAAGGCAAAGGTTTTATTTTGGAAGGCCCAAAAAGTGAGAACCAGGAAATATTACTATCATTAGCTCTTTATTCATTAAGCAATAAGTAATCATTTTAGATTTTATTTATTTTATGTAATATATATGTACACTTTAGCTGGGAACACTGTGTAAGATATATTGCACTGAAAAAGACAGAAGATGGATGTCTTTGGGCAAATATTTTTATCCTCAATAGCCCTCAATTCCTTCATTTGCAAAAGGAACTCTTTTGGAACAATATAGGGAGGATTAATAAGATAATATGTGCTTATTGATACAATGCCAAGAACATAAAAAGCTCTAATAAGTAGTAGCTATTATTATCAGCAGTTGACAGAATATGTTATTAGTGATAGCAAATGGTCATGAAAAGGACAAGATGGCTATAAGAGACATTTCAAAAGGTAACATCTTTGCTAACTGGAAGAGGATTCCTGTCATTAATGGAACCAGGAAGGTAAGCTGTAAATACTTATTTTAGGCAAAAGATGTCAAGTTCTTATTGGATGTGCTAATAGGACAACCAGATGGAAATGTTCTTCATGTAGTTAGAGATAAAAGTATGAAGTACCAAACAGAAATTCTACACTCAGGAATCATCTGAATTATTAAAATTGTTTTTAATAAACAACAACTATAAACCAAAGTTTATTCAAAAATCAAAAAGAGACAACAATAATTCTACTATAAAGCAGGTAGGGATTACCACAGGGAATCTTCAACTCTGGGTGATATTTACTGGTATACTACCACCCCACTTCCACATCTAAACAAAGAGTTTTAACACGTGAAAGAAAATTAATTCAACATTCTAATTTCTATAATTCACAATGGCATTATGTTTTAAGAATAGTAACTTTATAAAGTCTCTTTCACTCACATGCTAAATCCTTATGAATTAGACTCAGGAAATTCAGCAGTATAATACAGTAACAAAACAAAAGCACAACATTTCTGAATGCTATAAGAGGTAACTGAGTAACTGAGTTCTAAAGTTTCCTCTCACATAGACATTATTCTATTACTACTTTTCCAACCTTTAAGTAAACTGGTAAATCTTTCTCAAATTGATCCAGGAGACAATGCAGTGACACCCTCCTCCCAGAAGACTGTCGAAATCTAAAACAAAACTGGGTATCTCCAAGACAACCTAATGAAAACAAAAATGAAAGAAATTAATGGCAGCACAGTATAACATTTATTTATCCAGTTTTATCACATCTTAGAGCTAAAGGGGTCCTATCAATTACTGAAACACATTCTATCATGCTTTAGAGAAGAAAAAAGAGATCCTGACAGTTCGACTTGCTCTAAGCCATCTTTGCTGGTTAAAGGCAAAGCCATTAGTAAACTATGCATCTTAACTCCTATGTCCCTCTACTGTTTTTCCTATTCCATTTTCTCTATGTAATTAAAACTTTTTGAAAACTGTGTGCATGTCATGTTGATTCACAAACATAATTATGAGCAAAAGAAGCCAAATATAAAAGAACACAAATTGTTCAAATCCATTTACATAGTTTTTTTTTTTAATAAAGCAGGCAAACTAAACAATAGTGTTTAGGAATACATGGTTGGGTGATAAAACTATAAAGAAAAGCAAGAATCTTATTACTATAAGAATCAGTAGAGTGATTTGAAAAGATACATGCACCCCAATGTTCATAGCAGCCTTATTTATTTACAATTACCAAGGTATGGAAGCAACCTAAGTGTCCATCAACAGATGAATGGATAAAGATGATATGATACACACACACACACACACACACACACACACACAAATGGAATACTACTCAGCCATAAAAAAGAACAAAATTTTGCCATTTGCAGCAACATGGATGGACCTGGAGAGCATTATGCTAAGTGAAATAAGTCAGACAGAGAAAGACATATGTATGATATCACTTACATGTGGAATCTAAAAAATACAACAAACTAAGCAAAACTAACAAAAAAAAAGCAGATTCACAGATATAGAGAACTAATGGTTGGTTACCAGTGGCAGAGGGGCAGGGAATATAGGGGTGGAGGAGTGGGGGGTACAAACTACTGGGTGTGAGATAGGCTACAAGGATTATTGTACAACACAAGGAATATAACCATTATTTTGCAATAACTGTAAATGGAAGGCAAACTTTAAAAATTATATTTAAAAAATTTTAATAAAAAGTAAAAAATTGAAAAGAAAAAAGAATTAAGATAGTGGTTACCTTAGGTGCAGGGGAGGGAAATACTGTTTGGGAAGAGACATGAGGGGGCTTTTGTGGTGTTGGCAAAGTTCTATTTCTTGACCTTATATGTGTTTTATATTTCACAATGAGAATTTAAAAAAAAAACAAAAACATAGCAGACTCAGGAAGAGCCCAAGTAATAGACTTACTATTTTAATCATGTTAATTATAAAGTTTTTAAACTTCAATCATTTTAGCAAGCCTCTTAAAATATTACCTAAACTGTCAGGCAATAATTACAAAAAACTGTAAATACTCTAAAAAGTGAAAGACACAAGAAGTAGCCTGTCACTCAAATTCTTCCCAGTTACTGTATTTAAAACTAATGAGATTATATTAAATACAAAATGTGCTCAAGATTTTATTACACACAGAAGTACTTATATTTCTTTAGCACATCAAGTTCTCAAAAAGGAAGCAGAAACTCGATATTACGTTTAAGTGTTTTAAAAAGCAACTCAGTACATATACCTAAATGCACTTATAGAAACTAGTATTTCTTTGCTGGAGGAGGGAAGAAACAAAGGAGACTGGAGGGTGAGTCAGTTCAGTTTCTTTATTTGTCATAGCAGACGGTTCAAAATAAGGAAAATACATGAGACCTGAGATAATGGAAAATACTCCTAGCATTGTTTTAGTTCAACAGATTTATATACAGATGGTTCAGTTTTTCTCTTCAGAAGACAGAAAGATCCACTGAGAAGTATACACTAATTTCTCTGAGACACATAGCAAGATGTAGCAGAAAAAATGCAATGGATTTTAAGAAAGATGTATGGTCTCTGGAAAATGTAAGGAATGCTGAGCTTTGTGGAAAGAAAGTAATGAAGCTCCCACAGCCTTCAACCCCAACCCACCCCTGGCTCCACTCCCAAACCATGGGCATGCTGTAAGAACTTTCCGATGACTAGCTGTACCTGCAAGCTGTACAGAACTGGTCAGGAAGCTAGTTCACCAGGTCAAAAAGGCTTTAACCATAGTGTCTTTGTGAAGTGAGGTAAATGGTTCCCATTTTATGTTTCAGAAGTCTGTTCCCTCATACACAAAAGGTTACTAAAGAAAAACCAACTCTTTATCTGGGTAGACCTTTGTTCTCCATCCTGACCTCACTATTAACGGGACAGGAAAAGAGGTGTTACAGATTGGCAACCAGGTTATTTACATTTGTCTTTCAGAAAAGGATACCTGTGGAGGGCAGGGCAATCCTGATAACCTACAACCTCATCAAAAATAAATCTACCTTGTTAGTATGACCCAACCAATTTGCCTATTTAACAGGAGAGTGCACCTCTACATAAGCAGTATAATGATTACATATGAAAGATGGTTAAATGACTGTGCACATGAGGGAAAGGTTATAATCTGAGGAAAAAGGAACCACAATCAATGGGATCTAGTTCCAGGTCCATCAATAATTAGCCTTCTAGAAGTCACTTCGCCCAAGGTTCTCAATTTCCTTGTAAACAAAAGTTAAGGGGCATCATAAGATAATCTCTAAAGTCACTTCCAGCAGTAATATGCAATAATTCTAAAGTAAATCTCCACAACTGACCTACAATTGTACTGAATTCCAAGCATCTTACCCACTGTATTCACTAAGAAAACTAAAGACCTATATAAAGATCCAAAAAGACCTAAAAGTTATGCTATGTGCACCATAGCTTTCTGATTATTAACAAAAACAAACAAAAAAAAAGGTAAAAAGCTTTAATGGAAAGTATTTTTTCTTCACATAAATCAAGGAATAAAGATGAATTTATACAAATTTTAAGATTAAATGACAGCTCTCCAAAGAAAATACACCTTCACATGGCTTCTTGACTAAGAACCACATAAACTCTTTCCCTGATAAAGCAGCAGGGATTAAGGAAACAGCAAATTTCCTCAGCAAACCCCCACAGCTTGAGGAAAAGTTCCACTTTAATTAATCTAGAATAATCTTTACGAGCCCAGAAAACAGAACTAATAACCCAACACTTTTTAAACCAAGAAAATTCCTGTAACCTTCCCCCAACATCCTTTTCCAAACAACTAAGTTCTTACAACAGAAATCAAACAGAATCCCAGGTCAAAATTATTTTCATTATTTTGTCTGCTTTCAGAAGTGATTTTCCACCCTTTCAATACATGAATTGAGCACCCATTTCACTGAATGCTCACTCTGTGGCAGGCACTGTCCTAAACACTTTAGATACATTAACTCATTTGGTCTTCATGCTTCTCACGTAGGTCCCGTTATTAGTCCTGTTTGTGAGGAGGAAACCAAGGCACAGAAAAGTTATGTAATCCTCCAAAGAAATAAATCTGCTAAATGGCAGAGCAAGAATTTGAGGCCACGACATCTGACTCTGGAGCTGGTGCTCTGGACCATGACATCATACTGGCTCTTTCAAGTCAAAATGGACTTCAAAAACACCACTTCCACTAATATGAAATATCCAGAATAGGTAAATCCGTAGAGACAGAAAGTAGACAGGTGGTTGCTGAGGGGGAGAGGTGGGTAGGAGGAAACTGGAGCAGGAAGTTTCTTTTTCGGTGATGAAAATTTTCTAAAATTGACTTCGGTAATAGTTGCACAACTCTGAATGTACTAAAAATCACTGAATTGTACATTTTACATGGGTGAATTATATCTCAATAAAACTGTTTTGCTTTTTTTTTTAAAATGCTACATCACTGCCAACTGGAGCAGATCAAAAGCTCCTATTCTTCACTTAGAAAACGAAGTCCTGAAAAGCACCCCTCCAACTGAGGAGTTGCTGAACTCACTGGTTTCTGGGACACTCACTGGTTTCATGGCTCCTCCTATGCGAATGCCATGTGGTAAGCCACAAACTGCTCTCCTCCCATTTTAAAATTATCAAGGGCACAGATGATTTTACCCTTTACATCTGCCAATCAAACCAAGACTGCAAAGCTATAGATAAACGGAAGATGCTTTCCTGTATCAAAAATATTACTTGAGCGGCTTCCCTGGTGGCTCAGTGGTTAAGAATCCACCTGCCAATGCAGGGGACACAGGTTCGAGCCCTGGTCCGGGAAGATCTCATATGCCGCGGAGCACCTAAGCCTATGCGCCACAACTACTGAGCCTGCGCTCCAGAGCCCACGAGCCACAACTACTGAGCCCGTGTGCCACAACTACTGAAGCCCACGCGCCTAGAGCCCGTGCTCTGCAACAAGAGAAGCCATGACAATGAGAAGCTCACGCGCTGCAATGAAGAGTAGCCCCCGCTCACCACAACTAGAGAAAGCCCACGCGCAGCAACAACGGCCCAACACAGCCAAAAATAAAAACAAATAAATTTATTTTAAAAAAACTACTTGAGATTTGAGGGAAAAAAGCTTAACTATTTCTTCTAAAGGGAAAAGACAACTTCAGACTATTTTTTTAAATTAATTTATTTATTTGGTTGCGTCAGGTCTTAGTTCTGGCAGGTGGGCTCCTTAGTTGCAGCTCACAGGCTCCTTAGTTGCAGCTCACGAGCTCCTTAGTTGCAGCATGAGAACTCTTAGTTTTGGCATGCACGTGGGATCTAGTTCCTGGACCAGGGATAGAGCCTGGGCCCCCTGCATTGGGAACACAGAGTCTTAACCACTGCACCACCAGGGAAGACCCTTGATCAGTTTTGTTTTTGTTTTTTTAATAAATTTATTTATTTATTTATGGCTGCGTTGGGTCTTCGTTGCTGCACGTGAGCTTTCTCTAGTTGCAGCAAGCGGGAGCTGCTCTTTGTTGCGGTGCACAGGCTTCTCATTGTGGTGGCTTGTCTTTGCTGCAGAGCATGGGCTCTAGGCGCATAGGCTTTAGTAGTTATGGCACATGGGCTCAGTAGTTGTGGCTCCTGGGCTCAGTAGTTGTGGCTCATGGGCTCTAGAGTGCAGGTTCACTATTTGTGGCGCATGGGCTTAGTTGCTCCACAGCATGTGAGATCTTCCTGGACCAGGGCTCAAACCCATGTCTCCTGCATTGGCAGGTAGATTCTTAACCACTGCGCCACCAGGGAAGTCCCAGAGTATTTTTATATTAGCGGAAAACAGCTATAGAACAGTTCAGAGTAAGATTAAAATAAAACATGAGACCTTAAGAGCTAGCCCCATCCCTGGCCTTCAGCTCTATGTAGTCACCCTCTCTGTGATTAGAGTTGGAAACGCTGAGAAGCAGGAGTTTAGACCAGGGACTACACTTCTCAAAGTGTAGTCCATAGAATGATGCGAGTCCACAAACTCTTGTTACAATACATGACAAAATAAATACCCAAACTGAGAATACACATTTAGAAACCCTTATAGCGATTTGATATTGCCATGACAAATTTGGACTTATATTTTGTATTCTTTGGTTTTTCTCCCTTTCATTTTTCTAATAATTCATGTATACAGCATTTTATAAAAGCACCAGTCCACAACAGACTGGAAATTCTTAAAACACCCAAATGGCCCTTCAACACAGATGAGTGTGAGAAGCACTCCTTTCACCACCGGGAAGTGTAAAGTACATGACGACGTCCCAACTCTTTACATAGAAGAAAATCTGTTGAGACAAATATTATCTGCACATCTAATCCATCCAGAACAAGGATTGATATTTCCCTCGGATTCATCATCACTTGAAACTCTCTCTACTAATGCTAAGTTTTCTCTCTGGCCTTGTTTAGAGCATAGTGATTACAGTCCTTGGGTACCCATCACAGCTTAAGACTCAGGAATGCATATATCCAGATGATATTAATGGTAAATAATGAGAAAAATATCTGACAAATATTTATTAGAGAGAAAACATTCTTTAAACTTAGGCTCCTAAAGATAAAAGCCATTCAAATGGAACCAAAAGCTGAAAGCTAAAAACAAACAAAACAAAACTTTTTTCTAAAGTCACAGTATCTAAGTTGTGTGTGGGTAGTAGGTGGAGGAAGTGGAGGACTGGCAAATCCTCCCGTTGGGAATCCCAAAAGTATTCTTCTTTATCTGTATAACTTACCATAGAGTCTAAATGTTGTTTTACTTTTTTTAAGTGTGCACCATGGAAACAAAAGCTAGGTTATGATTCTTTCCTAAAGACTGCTCTACTGCACCTTCTATAACAATAAAGCTATCTTGGGAAAAATTAAATCCATTTCAAAGTTGGCATAGTACTAATTCCAACTTCCATTTAATGAACACATAAATGAAACAAACTATTTGGATAATCACAGTTCAGAACAGTGATCTCAAATATATGTAAATGCATAGTCTCTTGCTGGCTAGATTAATATTCTTCTGTTAAGATGGCAAGGTGTCTATTTTTAAGATCTTCTGTTGACTTTACTTCTAAGTACCAAGCATATTTTGAATAAAATGAACCACACTTCCTTTGATATGCAGCTTATAAAAAAGGCATTACAAAACATCTGTAGGTCATTCAAATGCCTAAAATACTGAACAAATTGGTTTTTTTTTTTTTTTTTGGCCCCACGGAGTCCTAACCCCTAGACTGCCAGGGAATTCCCTGAATAAATGCTCATTTACACAGATTTACACTTGAGTTTAACTTCCAATAAGAAAATGACTCATACAGAGACTAACTGCAAAACTAGAAATAAAAAAGACTATCAGACATCATACAATTAACTTCTTAGTCTTTTTTTTTTTTTTTAACTTCTTAGTCTTGATGCTCATGTAGAGAGGTGAAAGGGAGAGAGCCATGAAAACCAGCCATGACCTGAAAAAGAAGAGTGTGCAGTATAATCACATGAAGTCAGATTATCCTGTAATCCACACAACTCACCTGACCTTGAGTCATGGAAGTCCAATCCAATACTCACTACAATCAGAACTACATGTGTGCACTTTGTAAGGCAAATGTTATCCGAAATAAGGGGAGATCCTATAAGACCGCTGTATCATTATCTCGTTAACAGGCAAAACATGTGAAAAGATTCCAATAATTCCAGGTCAAAACAAAAGCCGTCCCGGGATCGCTCAAAGCCATCCTTTTAACTTTTTTTTAAAAAACATATTTCATGAAAGCTGAGTTCCAAAACTATAGGAAAAAATTCTGGAAGCATTTATAAGGAAAAGAGAAAATGCTTTAAAAAGCTAAAATGTCAAGTCTCCCAAATCAGATTATCTAAACTAAATTAACAGTATATTAGAAGTAACCACAAAAGGAAAGGGAACTGTAGTGCCTTTGCTTCATGGGATTCTAAGTGTGTGGTCTAAGAACTTAAGTGTTCTGGTCACTGTAAGCCTGAAAAATTATTTTCAAAGTGAAACACAAAAGGTAACCTGAAAGATATCAACTTATAGGACCACACAAAGGAAGAACTTGAAGGAGACCAGCAAAACCAAGCTTAATAATAATAGCAAACACTTATAAATTACTTTCTATACCCAAGCACTATTTCAAATGCTTTATATATACTAACTCACATAAACTATTGCAAATAACTGATGGCCATGCTTTATAACCATGTTTACCCTGATTTTTTTTTAAATCCCTGCTTTTACAGAGTTCTTGGCAAGCTCCCAAATCCTAAACTAAAAGAACACTGCTTAATATAAATCCTCAAACATACCAGCGTTGATGATTTTCAATCTCTTCATTATTTCAACAGTTTATGGCTCCATGATGTTTTACCTCATTACAAGATAACAGTTATTTTCAAAGTTGAACCAACGAAAATAAGTAAGACACGACTAGGATCATAAAAGTAGGAATCAAAATCACTAATCTGTTAGGATGAAATTGAGTTTGCATTCTACTATGTTATTTCAATTAATTTTCATATATTAAGAGTATAATCAGTATTCTCTGTATAAAATTCAACAGAAACACCACATGAAAAATAGTTACCTGAATTTGAATCTGGAAAAGACAAATAGCAAATATTGGTTTTCTGAAAAAGAAAACAAAAACTATATATGCTGACATATATACACCAATAAAAACAAACAGAAATAAAACAGTAAACTATATAGGGCAATATTTTTACTTACTTCTTTATCAGTAAGTTTGGAATGTTGAGGATAAATTACCTGGGAGAACAAGAGTTAAATTTTGTTAGACAAATATATGGAGTATATATTGTAAACATTAGCAGGTACTTCTAAAATACTAGTCGGCTATGATCAAATTGGTTTAAGAAACAGTTCACAAATTTAACAATGAAACACAGGAGAAGCTGGGAGAATTGAGGAGGATTTACATTTGGCAAAAAAAGTTTTGACTCAAAGTTATCTCTAAAAATTGGTGAAATTTTGAGTTATCAAGAACAATTTGAGACTTCCTTGGTGGCGCAGTGCTTAGGACTCTGCGCTCCCAATGCAGGGGGCCCAGGTTCGATCCCTAGTCAGGGAACTAGATCCCACAGGCATGCTGCAACTAAGAGTTTGCATGCCACAACTAGGGAGTCCGTGAGCCGCAACTAAGGAGCCTGCGTGCCTCAACTAGGAAGCCCATGTGCCGCAACTAGGGAGCCGGTGAGCCACAACTAAGGAGCCCTCGAGCTGCAACTAAAGGAGCCTGCCTGCCACAAGTAAGGAACCCATGTGCCGCAACTTAGACCCAGTGCAACCAAACAAATAAATAAATAAATATTTTTTAAAAAAGAATAATTTACTAATTGAATTGCTAATAACTCAAAGTTTTTTGAGTCTTTTCTTTGGAAGCCTAAAATCTAAAGAGAACTTGATCTATAAGCTTGTAGCTACTTCAAGAAATAATAATTTTCAATTGATTACAAGAAGTAATACAAATTACTAACTACTTATTAAAAGAAAAATGAAAAGGAAAAAATGATCATCTGCAATTTAAGAAACCTCAAAGGCCATCTTCCCACCATAGAGCCTATCTTATTTTCCTCCAATCCCTTTAAATAGTCATAGCACTTCCCTAGATAGGTCAATTTAGTGCCTGCAGTGACCCAGCCACCTTCTGAGGGAAATTCCTGCCCCACAGCCCCACGAAGCAAGCAAGACTAGGCCAGCACAGCTCCTGTCAGAACAAGCACTAGTAAACACCAGACCCAAGGGCACCCACTCTACAGGCCAATCAACCAAGTGCCCAGATGGGGCTGGGTATGAAAATTCTGCCCAAGAGAATACCAGTACTCAAGTGGGCCAGTACAGATTCTCTCGGGAATGTGAAGAAGAGATGGGATTCGGAGCAGCAGGTTAGCTAGTGGCTGGTAACCAAAAAGAGAGGAAACAACACAAAGTGTAGCGGAACTGCATTAATACTAGGTTGCTCTTCCAGTTCTGGAAGAATCCATGCATTCTTCTACTCCCCAGAGTTGCCCAGGTGCCTGAAAATCTTACATTTCCAGAAATAACATATAGTAATAGCACATTATAAACTGTATTAAGGTGGTTTCACATATTTATTTCATTTATTTAGTTCTCACAATAATAGACAAGGCTAGTAATGGTATCCCCACTTTACATATAAGAAAACTAAGGTAAGAAAAAAGATGGGGAGAATTCATATTACTGACCATCTTCTAGAGTTTTTAATTTTCACAACTCTGTCAATTCTTCACATCTTTACAGAAGAGGGGACAAGTTCACAGTAGTTAAATAACTCGCCCAAAATTTAGCACCTAGTAAGTGCCACAACTAGGACTTGAACTTAGGTCTGCCTGATTCCAAAGTACACAAGCCACCATTCCTCACTCCACCCATAGTAGCAATCATTAACTCACAATCACAGCCCTCTTCCTCCCCTAGCCAGGATGTGGCATATAATCCTTCTCAATTCAGGAGTATGAGGAGGGTCTACAGAGCTGGTATTGTTACATGAAAACCACCCAGCATTCCTGGAATAGAAAATGACACCAAAGCCAATATTCGCTCTACTTTGCTTTGTATCCCATGTTCTGACCGACCTGACTTAACCTCTGTCTCCACAATTCATGAAGGCAAGAACCTGGTCTGTTTTGTTCAACAGTCTATCTTCACACCTAGAACAGTTTCTGGTGCATAGTAGACACTAAAAAAATATTTCTTCCATCAGTGGATATACTCTCAGATTAGCTCTGTTAAACAACTCAGTATTTAGTAATATGTAATTCTTCTTTAAGTGTACGTAGATCTTCCTTGCTTCACCTTGAGACCATTTTACTTTGTTAACTTTAAAGGAGAAATGGCAAAGATGCTGCATGCCGCAACTAAGACCCAGCACAGCCAAGTAAATAAATAAATAAATAAATATTTAATAAATAAATAAAAATAAAGGAGAAATGGCAAACTTATAACCTATTTGGCCATATTCATGAAAATCTCTTTACATCTAAGTTAACCTGGAGTTTGCTGGTCTAAAACATATTGAGAAGTTTAGTGGCCTGTAACAGCTTAATCTTAGACTCTAAATTCACTTTTATGTGAATGCCCTTCAAATTTTTATTTCCTCAAATTAAAATACCAACTCAAAAGCAAATATACAAAATTCCATTTTTTATTACATAAAGATATCAACCATGGTTCATCTGGACATTGGTTTCCTAAGGTTTAAAATATTAGCAAGACAGTATAGAAGAAAAATGTTGGTATGTTTTACCCATATATATGAGTACCTTAAATATATATATATAACATGTGTGTGTATATGTATGTGTGTATATGCATGTATTTAAGGGGCTTATATATGCTCTATATATTTAAGTAAGTTAAAAGGATATAAAAACTACAGAACCTATCAAATCTGTCTTTCAGGGAATTCCCTGGTGGCCCAGTGGTTTGGACTCCACACTTCCAATGCAGGGGGCCCGGGTTCGATCCCTGGACAGGGAACTAGGATCCCACAGCTGCACAGCGCAGCCCAAAAAAAAAACCCACAAAAAAATAGTCTGCCTTTTAAAAACTCTGCCTGTGGGACTTCCCTGGTGGCACAAGAATCCACTTGCCAATGCAGGGGACACAGGTTCAATCCCTGATCCGGGAAGACTCCACATGCCACGGAGCAACAAAGCCCATGCACCACAACTACTGATTCTCTGCTCTAGAGCCCGTGAGCCACAAGTACTGAGTCCACGCGCCACAACTACTGAAGCCCATGCGCTCTAGGGCCCACACGCCGCAACTACTAAGCCCACGAGCTGCAACTACTGAAGCCACAAGCCTAGAGCCCGTGCTCTGCAACAAGAGAAGCCACCGCAATGAGAAGCCCACACACCACAACGAAGAGTAGCCTCTGCTCACCACAACTAGAGAAACCCCGTGCGCAGCAATGAAGACCCAACGCAGCCAAAAATAAAATTAAAAAAAAAAAGTAAAGTAAAAACTCTGATTGTACTAGACTGTCAAATAGTATCTAGAATTTCATTTTAATGTACTCTGTTAGAACTACTCAGTGTTTTATTTTGGAACAAATATGATATTCAAAAAGAAACAATGCATATTTATATGCTACAGCTACTGAAATGGCCACACTGTACCTAAGATCAGAAAAATCAGAAAAATTCAGGGACTTCCCTGATGGTCCAGTGGTTAAGACTCCACGCTTCCACTGCAGGGGCACAGGCTCGATCCCTGGTTAGGGAACTAAGATCCTGATTGCTGCACAGGCAAAAGAAAAAAATAAACAAGTGAAAATAGATTTTTAAAAAAGAAAAAAGAAAAATTCATACTTAACTTTAAAAACATCAACTCCCTATTTAAAAAACAAAAGAAAGAAAAGTAACCACTACCAAGTATCTAGAACTGCACAAATTACCACAGTTACTAGAATTATTACCTGTGTACATACTTTATGTTGTTAAAAAAAAAAAGTTTAAATATAAGTTTGGACAATCACTGTTAGTTTAGTTTTAGTCAGTTAGCTCCTGATAGCTATATGGGAAATAATCAACTGTGGGTTAGCTCCAGTACCTGGAGATGCCTCTCACTTGAAGCTTCCTCTCTCCATAGCTCAAGTAAAGGCATCTCTATTCCCCCAATCACTGGCATTCTGGGTGGCATTAAAGGGGGACAGAGAGCATCAACTAATGTCACTCTGGTTTTGTTACCTATGTTAAGATCTCCCATGTTACAGCAAATAAGGGAGAGGTGGCCAGGTAATAACCGAAGAGAAAAGTGAGTTTTATTTGATATAATTATTAAGGCTTAAAAATGATGACATATTTCACATCATGTTACAATAGAAAAAATGTGTCTCAGAAAAATATTAATATATATACTGGAAAAGAGTATTACAAAATGTTTTAAATGGGTCTATTCAAAGGTACATCTCTCTGCATACATCTACATCTCTCTAGCATTCCCAACTCAGTATGAAAATAATCATGGTCCCAGGAGGAGGAAAATTAGAAATACCAGCTAACTTACTGCCAGTATCATTTGGACATGGGAAAAATTCATGCCTGTCATGCACCCAAGTTGTGTGTGAATGGGTGTCTACCTGATGCCATGTGACTGGGTATCTGTCTCTACTGCATGACCCTGCCTGGTGTCCCAGGCCTGACAGAGACTACATTTCCCAAGAAACCTTGCCTTGATCTCCTACAGAAACATTAACTTACAAACAAACATCATCATAACCTTGGGGACTTCCCTGTTGGTGCGGTGGTTAAGAATCTGCCTGCCAATGCAGGGAACGTGGGTTCAAGCCCTGGTCAAGGAAGATCCGACATGCTGCAGAGCAACTAATCCCGTGAGCCACAACTACTGGGCCTGCGTGCCACAACTACTGAAGCCCACGCACTTGGGGAGCCCGTGCTCCGCAGCAAGAGAAGCCACCGCAATGAGAAGCCCGCGCAACGAAGAGTAGCCCCTGCTCACTGCAACTAGAGAAAGCCTGCACACAGCAACGAAGACCCAATGCAGCCAAAAATAAATAAATATTTAAAAATAAAAATAATAAAATAATAAAAATGAAACTGAAATACTGTATTAAAAAAAAAGAATTCCAACTAATAAATGCAGAAGGAATAAGGAAAATAGCAAATCACTATGAGAACACCAGAGTAATAATAGTTACTACAGGAAAGATCCACTTTTGGATGCTGAAATTAGCAAGCAAATTTGAGAAACAAGATACTGCA